ACCAGAGAGACCATGTATGCAGATCTAAAATGGACTATGTTCTTTGAGGAATGTCTGAGCTAGCAGAGGAGCAGGTGATGGCTCAGATCATTATATTTTAGTGGCCATATTACAACGTCAACTCAAAGATCATGAAAACAGAGGGTACTAGGACAAGGAAACATTGCTCTGATTCTAAAGTGCATTTAGTAACGGTTCCAGGTTTTTATAGGACCAGGCTGATGAAAGTCTGAAAGAAAATGGCTGTCAGAGTGGTGGAAGAAGCAGGCCAGAAAAGACAGAATAAAGAGGTGATGGATTACATTTGGGCAGCAACTGATGAACATAAAGTTCTTCAGGCGCTAAAGGAACAGTGCAAGACAAGCAGAATTCTTAGAGCGAAATACAGACTAAAAGACGGAGTAATAAGGAAGAGACAGGGGCAAGATGGAAACATCTGGATTCAAGAGAAGGCGGCAGAGACACAAGCAGCAGCACAGAAGGGAGACTTTAAGCAGCAATACAGAAGAGAGAAAGATCTCCCAGGAAGAATCAGACCAAAGCAGATGATTCACATTGGGCACTCTCATGGACAGATATTGAAAAATGAACAGAGAACCAACTGGACATTGGATATAAATGTTCCATTCCATATTACATTACTCAGAGCCAACGATCAGGCAAAGTGAAGAGAGAAATGCCAGGGCTAAATATGAAGAACCAACATCATCATCAGATGAATTAAAGCAGTCATCAGAAGCTTGTAGTACAGGAAAGTTCTCAAGGTTGACAGAATTGAACAGAGGTGCTAAAGTGGGGAGAGGAGGAGGGGCAAATTCTAACTAAGCAACTAACAAAATACTAACAAAATATGAGTGAAAGAATATGTACAACTGGGAAGACAGAAAGATACATTCTACACTGTCAAAAAAAGGTAAACTGACACAGTGAATGAACCAGAGAGGTACTGCATTACTCTCAATCCCAGGCAATGGACTGGCTGTTGCTATGTTGAATAAAAGGAAAAAAGCAGTGGATGGAATATTACAAAAAATGGCCAGGCCCCATCCACGTAAATCATGCAGTGAACATATTTGCTCTTTGGCAGATAAGAGAACCAAAACTCATCTTAAAAGACATTAATAAACATTCAATAGTGTCCACAGAATGATCCTATGGAATACTACTAGAAGCAATGGGTGACCAGATGAGCAGAACACCATAATAAGGAGTTCATATGCTGGAAGCAGATGTAAACTAAGATTGGATACAGGCCTAGGTGAGTAATTTGATTTTGTGATTGGAGTTAGACAAGAGTGTGTATTTGTTATCAATCCTCTATGTGTTAGCAAAAGATTGGAGGATGAAGAGGGCAACAATAGGCATTTTGGATGGTTTAAAATGGGTTGGCAGAGACAAGTCACATGACATTGACTTTACATATGATTTTGCTTTACTAAGTAGGACATGGAATGGAATGATTGATCTAATACCAGAGGTAAATAAGGAAACAGCAAAGCCTGGACTGAAAGTAAATGAAGAGAAAACCAAGATTATGAAAGGTATACAACTGCTCAACAGATCCATATACATTTTCACATGGAAAGGAAATCCCAAAGATTGAAGAGTGCTGCTATCTGAGGAGCATGCTGATATCTGAAGGTGGCTGCAGTCAAGATAGTCACAGGAAATGCAAACACCACTTTTGGAAGGATGAATATCATCTGATCAAACAAAGGTCTCCACACCCAATTAAGGATCAGTTTACATGAAACAACTGTATTTGATCATGCTAGTGTATCGAGCAGAGTCTTGGCCAAGGACTGGGCACCAAAAAGAGAAGGAGGTTGGCTATGGGGGTGGTTGAGGAAGATGCTACACATTTCATGAGGAGACAAAACAAATGTGAGAGCAAGGAATCTGACAGAGCAAGACATATTAGAAAAGAAAGAAGGCTCAGATGGTTGAAACTAGGGATGTAATCTTAGGCTTATTGGTTCATCAAGTTGACTACTAGCATTCGCCCTCCCCGGAGGAAGCCACCGGACCACCAACCCAGCAGATAAGGGACGTATCAGAGGCAACGGGGGGTGGGGAGGGAAGCAGGAGCCAGTGTTGGGAGGAGCTGGCTTAAAAGCCAGTTGCCCCCAGCACCATCTCCATGGTGCTGCCCCTTCCCTCCCCCCCAGCGCTGCTGCCTCTGAGAGAGGCAGCAGTGCACTGGGGGGCAGAGGAGGCTGCTATAAAGAAGCCTCTGTCTGTGGGCAGAGGCTGCTCAGACAGCAGCCCCTGTCTGCAAGGGATCCTAGCTCCCCGATAGGATTTCACCATCGACAGAGGCTGCTGGACCCACTCCTGCTGTGACTCCGCAGTTAAATGTAGTAGGGGCTGGGCTGCCTACCCACCCAGCTCCTACTGCATTTGAACTGCAGAGCTGCAGTGGGGGTAGCTCCCAGACCTGGCGCAAGCCAGGACTGAGTGCCTTTCCATATCAACTTATCGTGTAGTTGATAAAAATTCTATCTACTACACGATTAGTGAAATACCTGCTTAACATATCTAGTTGAAACCTGAACACCATTCAGAAGATGGGAAACGTTCTAAGCAAATACTGAATTGCATATCTGAAAGAGGAAAGAAAAGCAAGGAAAGCAAAGGAAGAACTGGCATAAGAAATGACCGAGAATACTGAATTCCTTTCCATCGATCAGGAAGAAATACCACTAGCAAAGAACCATAATCAATGCAGAAACAGGACTGCCCATATGTCAGCAGCACAGGAGGAACTAAGGTCCAAGGTATCTTTTTCTGCCATGATGATACAGGTTTTAAATCAGCAAGGCCTTATATAAACTGGAAATTTCATTTTTAAAAGTGAATTGTAATCCCTTACAAAGAAGATAATAAATGTTTTTATTATTTCCTTATGTGATGCTTTTTACAATGTATTTTTCTGGAGTCGTTTTCTTATCATAAAGCCGGTACTAAGCAGTAGGAAAAATTCAAACACCCATTTTATAAGCTTCACTCTTCCGTGTGCTATATACAGTAGCAATTAAACATTAACTACGTGTGAAATTGTAGCACCATGTGTTCCCCTTTTCTCAACAAACTTAACAAAATTTTAAAAATTATTTGTCTAAATAATGAATCTTCATTACTAAGCTTTTAAATAATACAGTAGGTCTGCTCCTGAAGTTTTTATTAAATCAGCAAACCTCCACAAATTCAGTTTGGTTCAGATAACTCCAAAATGTGGAGTGTTTATCCGTGTTAGCTAAAACCTTTACACGGTAAAACCAACCTGGATGCAAAAACTCTTGAGAGATATTGGAGGCTTTCTCCTTTGAGTCAGCCTAAAAATAAAAGGACACTCAGTCTCAGCAATTAGAAAATTCTGTGCCTCCAGAACCAGGAGTTGCGGAAAAAAAGAAAAAAATGAGAGGGAGGACATTTATTAAAGTTACCCTAATGTTCTTAAGTCTTCAAAGCTTTGATTTACATTCAAGTTTTCATGTTTTACTTTCTCATCATATCTTCCCAGAGAGGATTAATACATTTACTAACATAGCCGGAAAATTAAACTTAAGATGGTCACTTATTGCCAACTAGTGTTTCTCCTATCTTAAAGGAAGATTATTAGAATTTTAACTACATATTTGATATCTGCATATTTTTCCCCAGAGTCTTTAATGAGCAATGACTATTTACTTTAAATAAAATATTTCTGTATTATATACACATTAGTAAGACACTGTGCAAACATCCAGAAAACAAACAAATAACTTGAATTTAATGCAAAAAATCATCAGCTAGATAACCAAGATGTTATCGTGGTACGTACAGAAGATTTGATAAACAAGAGGATTCATTAAAAAAAATTAGTGGAGTTTAATAATATGCACAATTTCTCCTATTTTGTTTCACAATATCTAGCACCTTCCCTCATATGTGCCTTCATCCATCTGTGATACACACAAAATGAATATCATACTTTTAGGTGCTTGATAGTAAACATTAAGCTAACCATCTGATTTTTCACCTTGGGGACAGATCATCAGCCACACAATTATACACCTTGCACCTAACTTAAACCTAATAAAATATGAATGAGAATAAATTGTGTGAAGCATTTTATAAAAGTAAAACAAACCATTTAAACCAAATGGAGAGATCTCTCAAAAGAACACTCATCTTTCCTTAAGGTACTAAACATCAGCTCTCTGTAATATTCGTGTCTCATGGTGTATTGACTCTATTTAGCACACAGCTGCCAATACAATAAAAAAATCACTTGTCAAGTGTAAGAATATTCTACTTAAAATATAACTTTTTGTAACTTTACAAAGTAACTTTATTTTTTTACGTACCTACTCAGAGAATGACGGTTGCATATTTGCACAGCTATACTGTTCTTAAAAAGATTTTTAAAGTAGTCACTTTCAACTGTGAACTTAAAAACTCTTTCTCTATGGAAATCTTTTATAAACCTCATCCTCCCAAGACATATCATCATCATCAATGTCATGTGATGAAAATTCATTAACTATCAGAAGAACAAATTTTTCAAGTAAAGTGTAAATCCCCAGTTGAGGTGAATGTGTGACTATCTCCATACAAAGGGGGGCAGGTGGGGTAGTGAGAGCTTGAGCAAGCTAAAACAATAAGTGGTATTTGAACTGCTGGTTGAAAGGTAGAGGCACTGGTAATCATTATTTCCTCTTGTTTGTTCAGGACCTTCCAACAAAACAAACAACCTTTTTGTGATTGGATTGACATGGTGTTAACAATGCATTTAATGCCCAAATCAGTATGAATACAGGTAAAGCTCTCACTAATACCACTACCAGGATGTTAAAGCCACCTATTTTCCAAGCAACTCTAAACAGCCACACATTAAAAAAAATTCAGACCTTCCCTCCTTTAGCAAATATAGCTAACAGTCACTAGGCCACGTCATACAGCAACCGTGGGTACTGTATGATCCACAGGGCCATCTGTTAAATGCTTGTCTACTGTACCTGCAGTCTTTTCTGCAATCTTAGCTTCTGTAGCTCTCTCGTGCAGTTCTAAGTCCAGCTTTATTGTCTTCAGCTCTTTGTCTTTTTCAGACAGCTTATCCTGAAGCTGAATTGAACAAATGGACAATGAGATTCTTATCCGACAAATACACCTTACAGCCTTCATTAACCTTCAGCAAAATATAACATTTCTATTTTAGAAAAGGATTCCTCTCACCCAACAAAAACAAATACTAAGCAATGTGCTTGTATTTATTTAAATTAGTAAAGAAAAAAAACCAACCTGTTTTCATCTACTTTATATCACAGACAACACTGTGTGTCTATTTTTACATGTGATACTTCATCTCAGACACTACTAGCTGTAACAGAATTTCAGAAAGAAATTCAGAAGCAGCATGGAATGAATGATGCATATTTTTCCTTGTAATACTTTTTCAGCAATGTTATTTCTTTCATTCAGAAAAAAAGGAAAGATCTGAGCTAGGTTTTAGGGGTAATACATTCTTTTCTGTATGCTTGTAAACCAGAATTTTTACTCTTTCTCCCTATACTGAGGCCTTCTTGTATTTGGGAATTAACCAAATCTGTACTTGGGAAAAGGGCAAATGTGACTGTCACTTAATTGTAAAGTAAGTATCTGTAGAAACGTCAGGCACTGCTATTTGGATAGGTTCATGTTGATTCCCACTGAAAATAGAAACCTCTACAGTGTGTAACCAATGACAGAATTTACTCCACATCTTAAATTAAAACAATCAAGACATATACACCTATTAGATGAACTACATGCATAAAGCAAGAGCTCCAGATTTTTTATTGCTTTTATTTATAAGCTTCTAGACACTGTTTATGCCAGACGGTTGAAAACAGCATCATGAAATACTTGAGTGGTCTGAGGCTAGGTCTAGACTACAAGTTTTTGTCAGAAAAAGCTACACCAAATGTGCTTCGCATTTTCCAATTCTTTTCCTCGTGGAAGGAAGAATACAGGGGCTTCCAAAACAGCGTGTTAGCTCTTCCACACACAAAAAAAAGCAAAGTGCAAATGCGTTCTCTGGACACAGCGGGTTTTTTTCAGGATACCTCCAGTATCCCGAAAAACCCACAGTGTAGACATAGCCTGACAAAGGGGTGAAAGCCATGGGATAATTTGTTTCACAGAACAGATTAAATGAAAGCCTTTCTGGAAAGCAGGCTTCAAACTTTTCATAAAAACATGGAAGGACCATAATTCAAACTCTTCATCATCAACATTATATTAGAAGGCTGAAGTTTAAAGAAAAATAAAAAAAAAAACAAGTGACAAGATGGCAATGGAGACCGAGTGAATTAAAATAACACCAATAAAACAGGTGGGGCCCAACAGGTGGACAGAATAACTTTCGAACCAAGATGTCTTTCAGAGTCTCAGGCTGAGGCTATGTTTACACTGGAAAGGTTTGGTGATGAAAGTGGTGTCAAAATGCAAATGTCACCAAAACTGAAAATGCATCAAACCTGTTTTTCTGTTATCCATTGTCAATATATCACCAGGCCTCACCTACAACAGTCCCTACACACTGTTGGAATTCACAAGGTAGTGCTAAGCATTTTGGAAACGTGAAAAATGTCCAGTCAGCCACCTCTTTGCTTCCCAGCCCGCCCTAGACTTCTGGCTTACTTTTCAGCCTCTTGAATGAGAGTCCTTGCTGTAAACTCCAGTGTCTGCCATGCAAAATCATGGATCACAATTGAAGATTCGTATGCAGACAACAATGAATGACAGGGACAGCAACGAAGGGGCATTGCATTGGACTATCACACACCAGCTGTGCACAGTAAAGCTTTGCTTTTGGGCCAGGAAACCAGCACTGAGTGATGGGATCACACTGTCATGCAGGTGTGGGATGAAGAATAGTGGGTACAGAACTTAAGGCTGCGTAAAATAACCTTCCTGGAGCTGTGTGCTGAGCTGGCCCCTGAACTGTGAAACACATACCCCTACTGTCGGATCAGTCGGCAAGGAAAACCTTTGCTAACCGATTTCTTATGCCTTCTGAAGCGAGGTTTACAGGATCGATTGGCAAAGGCTTTCCTTGCCAACTGATCCACGTTTTGACTGCTGCATTGTGCCAACGATCAGCTGAGTAGGCACAATGCAGTGGCCATTTTTATTTTAATGAAGCGGGGGATATTTAAATCCCTGCTTCATTGACTATGTCAGGCAGTCTAATTTACATGCCTCTGCCGCAGAGGTTTCCACCCAGGATTGCATCCAGTTGTATATAAAAACAGCATGATGTGAGTGCAGCTTCACACTGGCTGTTTATCTCCTTCACCTTCTGGTATGTCTACTGGACTTTCTTTATCTTGGTTCTGCACTGTAGGGTTTCTCACACAGGGTTCAAGAAATGTAACTGTGCATGTCCCAGTTCCTGTGGGTCTTGCTCTGCTGTGATTGCACCAATTCTTCACCTCATACTATAAGATCTAAATTTCTGTGGTGCCCCAAGCAGGACACTGTTTTTTGAGGAATAACAACCTTTGTCTCCCCAAGAAAATGCCATGAGGATCACCACACAATGGCTACATCTACACTGGCATGATTTTCCAGAAATGCTTTTAACAGAAAAGTTTTCCATTAAAAGCATTTTCGGGAAAGCACGTCTAGATTGGCAGGTTCTTTTCCGCAAAAGCACTTTTTGCGGAAAAGCATCCGTGGCCAATCTAGATGCGCTTTTCCACAAAAAAGCCCCAATCGCCATTTTCGTGATCAGGGCATTTTTGCGGAAAACAAATCTCTGCTGTCTACACTGGCCCTTTTGCACAAAAGTTTTTCAGGAAAAGACTTTTGCCTGAATGGGAGCAGCATAGTATTTCCGCAAAAAGCACTGATTTCTTACAGTAGGAAGTCAGTGCTTTTGCGGAAATTCAAGCGGCCAGTGTAGACAGCTGGCAAGTTTTTCCGGAAAAGCGGCTGATTTTCCAGAAAAACTGGCCAGTCTAGACACAGCCAATGAGTTATACACCAGGAGATGGATTTTAAAGTTCCTGGCGTTTGCAGGTGGGAGGGGCGCATCTATTCATCACCAGCCAGAGTGGCTAATGAGGCACTGTGGGAAATATGCTGGAGTTCAATAAACTTTACAAAAAATCTGCTGTAGTACAACACTGCATGATTATCAACAATAAAGGAAGGGGGAGAGACAAAAGTCCCTTGTGAAGCTGGAAGGTTTTTGTCACCAAAACTGGGCGTTGGCTGAAACTTTTGCCATGTTGCAATGTGAACATGAAAAACTTGGTGAAAAAACTTGCCAGCATAGAGAAGGCCTTAGTCTACACTGTCACTTTATAGTGCTGTAACTTTCTGGCTTAGCAGTATGAAAAAAAACACTTCCCTGAGAACAGCAAGTTACAGAGCTGTAAAGTGTAAAACCAGGCTATAGCATTAGCTACTCCCCTCATGGAGATGATTTACATAGGGCACTGGGATCTCCCAGCATTCATGCTTGCAGGACTGGGGACTGAAACATTTTAGTATTTCTAATTATTTGTGTTTTGTTTTTAAAACATTCATCTCGCTCCTCCTTGCAGCAAATATTTAATAGGAGTGCACTGTTGTGGGATGTCACGTTGCTAAATATAATTACTTCTGCAAAATACTGCATGATACTTTTACTACTAGTTTGTTAGAAAATATCCAATTCTTAAAACTAAATGCTTACTGTCAAATTAAATGAACAAAGCAAATTACATTATTCTCTTATTTGTAGCATGCTTACTTAATCATTCATTTGAAAAATTCTGTTATCTGTACTAGATTTTCCAGTCATTAGCGTGAATAACTGACATGAAACTAGCCCATTGTGAGCCCTGATACCATGCTCAGAGATGACAATTGGAGTCTTCTGACTGAAACTGAGTTAATGAATGGTCCTACAGCGATACGCTTATTTTGCATCTATATCTATGATAATAGCAATTGATGTCACTGATTAAAAAGGTCAAAGAATGAAACATCATTCACTTTTTGAGAAACATTCATTAAGCAAATACTAAGAGTAGAAACGATGAGAGATCTATTGATTATTAATGCAGTAAAATAAACTAATTAGTAAAACAATATTAGCAAAGGTTGAAATGAAGATTTAATGGACAACAGGAAAACAGCAAGTACTGTAATCTTAATATTTCTATTTTACCTTTTTATTTTTTGTCCTTACAGCATCCAGTTCTTTTAAAAGCAATGCAACATTCAGATCTAGGTCTGCAGTTTCCTTCCAAGGAGCCATAAGGTCAGAGAGCATTTTACCTTGTTTTCCTGTAATACTATGATTTAAAAAAAAAAAAAAAGATTAAAAAAAATCATTGATCAGTAGAACAGAGGTTCTCGCTTTTCAAGACATCCACTATTGCATCTTTCAGAGGGGTAGTCATGTTAGTGTGTTTCAGCAAAAACAATTAGGAGTCCTGTGGCACCTTAAAAAACTAACAAAGGTATGTGGGTATAACTTTTCATGGGCTGTGACCCACTTTGTCAGATGAATAAAGTGCAAACTTCAGCTTAGCATGGACATACACATGCAAAAATGGGAGTATTATGTAGAGGACAAGTATTCATAAAGGGTGGGTGTGGCCTACTCCCAAAAACGGATGAGAAGATGAGAATACCAAAAAGGGGGAAATTACTTTTTGTAGTCAGCTAGCCACTCCCGGTCTCTTATCCAGACCCAGTCCAATAGAGCCAGGTTTAGAAATGAATTCCAGCTCCGCAGTTTCATACTATAGTCTGATTTTGAGGTTTTTTTGCTCATATATGGCAACCTTTCAAGTCTGTTTTCCACTACAATGTCATGGGCACAGCTGATGGCTGAGCTTTGTGACTCTGTCCTCACCCACAATCGTTTCAGATTTGGTAACAATTTATTCCTTCAAGTCAGCAGCACTGCTTTAAGTATCCGTATGGTCCCACAATATGCCAATGTTTTTATGGCTGACCTAGAACAACACTTCCGCAGCTCTCATCCCCAAGTGCTTCACATTGATTTGCATTACACTGATGACATCTTCACCATCTGGACCCTGGGGAAGGAGGCACTTGAAGAATTCTATCTAGATTTTAATAATTTCACCCAACCATCAACCTGAACCAGTCCACATGAAAAATCCACTTCCTGGACACTATCGTGCAAATAAGTGATGGTCACATAAACACCACCCTATACTGGGAACCTGCTGACCACTATACTTACCTACATGCCTTAAGCATTCATCCAGATCATATCACACGGTCCAGTGTCTACAGCCAAGCTCTAAGATACAACCTCACATTTGTTCCAATGCCACAGACAGGAACAAACACCTACAGGATCTCTATCAAGCACTCTTAAAACTACAATACCCACTTGGGGAAGTGAAGAAACAGATTAACAGAGCCAGGTGGACACCAAGAAGTCACTTCTACAGGGCAGACAAAGAAAGCAATGTAACACTGCTGGCCGTTACCTACAGCCCTCAGCTAAAATCTCTCCAACATGTCCATCAAGAGTCTACAACCTGTCCTAGATGATGATCCCTCACTCTCACAAACTTTGGTGGGTAGGCCCAGGCTTACAGACAGCCCCCCAACTTGAAGCAAATACTCACAAACAACACCACACCACGTAACAAAAACACTAATCCAGGAACCAATTCCTACAACAAATCTCATTGCCCACTCTGTCCACATATCTATCTAAGGGTACGACTAAACTTGCTCCCTAGTTTGAACTAGGGATGCAAATGTAGGCGACTGAAATTGCTAATGAAGCAGGGATTTAAATATCCTACACTTCATTAGCATGATCTCACCAGTGCGTTGCTCTGCTCAACCGTTGTTTCGAAAGTGAAAGTGCGCGCCAGGATGCGTTAGTTGGAACCAATCCCGTTGTTTCGAACTAACATTACTCCTCAAAAAATGAGGAGTACAAACCAAGGGGTTTGGTTCGAACTAATGCATCCCGGCACGCACTTCCACTTTTGAAACAGCTGTTGAGCGGAGTAACGCACTGGCAAGATCATGCTAATGAAGCGTGGGATATTTAAATCCCCGCTTCATTAGCAATTTCGGTCGCCTACATTTGCATCCCTAGTTTGAACTAGGGAGCAAGTGTGGAGGTACTCTCAGTGATATCATCATAGGACCTAATCACATCAGCCATACCACCTGGGGCTCATTCACCTGCATGTGTGATATATGCCATTATGCGCCAACAATGCCTCTCAATTTTTCCTCCTTTGGTATTTTCACCTTCTCATCAACCATTGAGAGTGGGCCATATCCATCCTGATTGAACTGACCTTGTCAGCACATGCATAACACTCCCATATTTGCACACGCCTATATCCCTGCCAAACTGGCTTCCACTTGATGCATCTGACAAAGTGTGTTCCAGCCCATGAAAGTTTATACCCAAATAAGTATATTAATCTTTAAGATGCCACAGGACTGACTCCTTGTTGGTTTTATCACCAGTATCTGAAGTCTACAAACTCGGATAGTTAACTATCATAGGATCAGGATGTATAAATTAGCCATAGAGTTAGACATTGCCAATTTCCAATCTTTTAAACCTACAAAAGCAATGGTATTTGAAATAATAAATTTGTTAAAACTAACAAACTAACCTACATAAACTATGAAGTCTATACATTGGAAATTCTTAAAGGAAGTAAATATCAAAAAGCTGAGTGATAAAGTAAGGAAAATATTGTGGGATCAAACTGATGCTTAACTTTCAGTGTGACTTCTTAAATCAATGGTTTTTGACTGCCTTTGTTACTTTTGAAAGTGGGATTCAGACTCCAAAGAGGCTGCATTTGAAATTTCAACCTCTAGTAAATAAACCAGTTTCTCAATAAGTGCATAAACTCCTCCCCATCTCCCATCTAAGAGTTGCATTCTCTCTTCTCTCGCCTCCCAGCATTCACTACTGCTAAAACCATCCTTTCTTTTCAGTTCCCACTGCTAACCCCATGGGTCACATACCATGCCTGTCTCTGATCTGAACTAGGACATAACCACCTTACCCCCTGTAGTGACAGCACAATCTCTTTCACTCCATGGGCCATTCCTCCCTCTCTGGTAACCCCTAGATTCCTTTTTTGAGTGCCTTCTTCAAGCTCCTCATCCTCACTTTTACACCTTTGCCTACATTTTACCTCCCATCTTCCTTTGTTCCCTTAATTCAAACCAGGTGTTCTGCCCACTCCTCACCCCTCACTGCTCCCTTTGTTTCACCACTTCCTATAGTTCATTCACATGAGAATGAAAGACTTTTTTCCAGTGCACCCAACAGTCTCACTCTCCTCCTTCATGCCCTCTCTACAAGACCCATTTCTTTCATCATGGTTTTTGCAAGTGGCCTCCATTGCTGGGTGCTCTCACCTGTTGCCCAATCTGATACCCAACTGCAATTAGTGTCAGAACTTTTTTGTGACTTAAAAAGACTATTTTAATCCTTGTCCACCATTTGGCTACCTCTCTCTTTCTACAGCTGGTTTCTTTTTCTCTGTTTGTCTGATACAGATTTTACCTTCTTTTGTGCATGTTTAAATTTCAGTAATGTTTTCACATGTTTGTTACAGGCCCATGTAAATATTTATCAGCACCACTACAGCTTTGGAGTAGAGTTTGATGAGAAACAGCTGAAAGAAGCTGAAGACTCACTGGATTCCAGGAGACATGACCACAAGGTGAGGAAGAAACCTGGTGACCATTTTTATGAATCCACAACCAGCATTATGTTCATTCCAAATACCGGCGAATTTCAATACAAGCTGAGCAAATCACTTCCTTCAACTCTTTTGAAAATTTTACCCATAATAGTGAAATAGTCTCAATCCAGGAAAAAATATATAAGAGCAACTTGTGTTTACCTTGATTCTTTACCAGTACAAGGGACAATAACATGATCTACAGACATATTTTGGGTGCTAGAGCTCTGTATGCTTAATGAGCTGGTTGTTGGCAAATCTAACAGCGTCATTGCTTCAACATTGCCTTGGATGGCCAACTCATTCTGTGGTTGTAGGCTTCTTGAAGAACTTGAATCAAGCTGGAATTTTGGACAAATATCTTCTGTTTGCTGTTCCAGTTTATAGATTTCTATTTGAAGATAAAAATTAACAATTTCCTTTTAAATTGAAAGAAAGCATAGACTTAAAATGAATATGAATATTAATAATCCACCCATGCTTTTCTTTGTAACAGAAAGAGGAAACACCAGTTTTAAGTCCACTGTTCCCTCATCCTATTGATGAAAGGAGAGGAAAGTTAGCCAAAGAACCAACTCAGGAATCACTCCACATTCAGGCATTGCTGATTGTTACATGCAAGTCAAAAAATTCTCTTCCTTTTCCTTATTTCTCTCCCCAATCATTCATTAACAAGATAGATCACTTGCCCTTACAGATGACCTGTAACAGCCAGGATAAGCCTGCATTATATCAGTTATGGGCCTGATTTTCATTTACACGAACGCCCCTTAAGGGTAAATAAAAAATCAGGCCCTATGACTTCAAAGCTTATGTTAATTTTCCTCTTAGCTTCCAAAGCAGCTGGCTCCACTCACATCTCCAGCATTCATAGCAATGTGATACTCCAGCATGTGTGATTACTGTTTTTTGCCACCACAATTTGTGGAAGTCTACAGGAATACGTAACCAGTGCATGCTGGGTGTCACTCACCCACAGAGTCTAACAATATTTGTAAATCCTGGGAAACAGTTAATATTCTTAGCTACTTTATGTAGATTCAATAGAGACTACTAAGAGTTTTATGTTTAAAATTTCTTAAGAAAGTTGCACTAGGAGGGTTTGTGTGTTTTGCTGTTTATTTTATTCAATCGAATTCATTATTTTCTCTCAAAACTGATAAAAAAAGACGGTCTGTGCTCTGTTACTGTTCTATGGATAACCTCAAAAAACCCATTACACTTCAGGTACCATACTGTAGATAAAATAGAGATGCAGAGACTTCAATCCAAGAATATTAAAATAAAATAATTCCCTAAAACCTATCAACATTGCAAGAATCTCTCTTTCCTGAGGAGAAGCAATGACACTCAGGTACTTGCTGCAAATTCTGCCTCAGCACTATGGTTAAAGCTTGCTCCATGGGGCCAGCCTATACTAATATTATTATGGAACTTATGCAGGACTTCAGAACAGGGTTGCCAACCATTAGTAAATTTATGGAGAGTCTGTAAAAAATTAGCCAAAATTGGACGTTTGAAAAGTCAGTAAAAAAATGTAGGTGTCGGAAAATTTTGTAAAAGTGCAATAAAATTTCACAAAACAGCAATTAGTCTATAGCAATTAAATTTCTTCTGTGCTGCTTCAGCCATTTTACTGCAGAGCAGCGGAAATTGGATGTTTACTGTCAGAAATGGATATGGGACAATCACTTCAGTGATAGTTAACAGCGTCAGTGTCCAGATGTACGATCACAAAATGGAAAACTTCCAGGACCATGACTAACTAAATGAAAGTGAATAAAATAGCATATTGTTCTTGTGATGTATGAATGACAATGATTACTTTTCACTTTTGCCCATTTATGTCGTCTTAGTATAAAAATTATGTCCATAAAAAGATGTGTCTGTCCGTAAATGTTTCCCATTTTGTCCGTAAATGAAATTTCTGTGGGTTGGCAATCCTGCTTCAGAAGCAGGTGTGTGCCACTGCTCATTGGCCCACATACCACTAGTTTCTAACTAGCCATTCCTTGGCACTGCTTTAGAATTTATGAAATCTTGGGGGAAAAAGTCCCTTGCTCCCCATTGCAGTACACAGTAGAAGAACTCCTCGCTGTAATGAAAAAGGCATAACAGACACATTGAGTACTGTCTCTAAGGCTATGTCTAGACCACAGGCCTCTTTCGGAAGAATGTCTAGACAACAAGTAGATTTTTCGAAAAAGCGAGCCACTTTTTTGAAACAGTGTAGTTGCTCTCTTTTGAAAAAGCACAGTTTGCATTAATAGCGCCTCTTTTAGAAAGAGTACTTTAAAAAAGGCATTATTCCTCGTAAAATGAAGTTTACTATGATCGAAAAAACTGCTGCATTCTTTGATTTACTTTTGAAAGAACATGGCTGCAGTCTAGATGCAGGTAAAGTTTTTTCGAAAAAAGGCCACTTTTTTTTCCTTCAAAAAAACCCTGTAGTCTAGACACACCCTAAGAGCCTGCTCCCAACTAAGAGGGGCAGGGGGCATCCTGGATATATACAGTCACTATTAGCTAGGGAAGTTTTTCTTTACTTTAAACCCTTGGGCAGAGTGAGGGGTTCATATCTCTTTTGGTTGCGTAACCACTAAAGGGAGCTTTCCTTGAACTACCTTTAATTGCTTCTTTATCTAAAAGTACATACAAAAGAATCTTGTCCGCAAGTGCATTGTCTCCTCTGTTTTTCTCACTTTAGATACCCTTTGCTTTGCATACAAAGTAGTACAAACCATTCTCCTGAACTTTGTAGGATGGGTGCCACATTACTGAAATGTTTGTTCTCAGTAGTTTGATTTAATCTCATGCACTTTTTTCCCCCCTTTCTATACCATAGCAATAGTCTCCATAATGAATATTTATTTGAAGCACCTCAGGCGGGGATAGATTATCGACTGGGAGGAACTCAACAACCACCACTCACTTCCAGTTTGTATTACTTTTGGACCTAGAAGCCCCAGGGATGGGCAAGGACTTTCTAAGACTAGAGGCTGTACAAACATAGTACAAAAAGTTGGCTCCTGTGGTAAAGAGCTTATCATCCAAATACCGTAACTCCTCACTTAATGTCATCTCAATTAACATTGTTTTGTTATGTCCTCATCTATTAGACTACGTCTACGCTGCACAATTATTTCGGAATAAGGTATTCTGGAATAGTTATTCTGAAATAGCTTATTTCAAAATACCATATCTACACTGCAGGGAACCCTCAAAATTAGTCCAAGGCAGGCTTCCCTAATGAAGATGTGCTATTTCGATTTAGAGCCCAAGGAGGCACTGGGGAGGAGTAACTTAGAATGGCCCTGGTGAGGGGCTATTTCAAAAAGCAGAAGTGGAGCATCCACAGTGTCCCTATTCTGCAATAACTATTTTGGAATAGGCATTATTCTTCATAGAATGAGGTTTACAGAAGTTGGAATAAGCCTCCCATGATTTCAAAATTATTTCAATATAACGCTATTGCTGACTAGATGTTCGCATACTTATTTCGGAATAATGGCTGTTATTCTGAAATAACTTTGCTATGTAGATGTGCCCCTAGAGAACATATTTGTTTAAAGTGTTTTATGTTTGCTTATAACCTTGTTTGACTGCCCATTGGCAGGTGGGGCTTGGAACCAGGGTGTGCCAGCAACTACTTTATTAGCTCCCCTACATGATCACCCACAGTGCCTTCCAGCTGATCAGCAACTCCCTCTCCCACCTGGTGCCTCCTGTCCACAGCAATCAGCTATTGGGTGATGTTTAGGAGGCTCTGGGGGGAGGAGGAAGCATGCAATGCACAGCCTCCTCCTCCCTCCCAAATCTCCTGAACACCACCAAACAGCAGAATGCGGCAGGTGGGAGGTGCTGATAGGGAGGGGAGGGAGGCTGCGTCTCCCACCCACAGCAATCAGCTGTTTCACAGGATTCAGGACTCGGAGGAGGAGGGGGCAGGAGCAAGGATGCACTTGGGGAGGGAGGTGGAGGAGTGGAAGCAGACCTGGGGCAGAGCAAGGGATTGAGCAGCCCATGGCACTTCCGGAAGTTGGCGCCTGTGCAGCAAGGTGTTCCCTAGGAAATATCCCACCTGATGCCAACACAGTTGTTTTAGTAGCTCAGGGAGCTCATGAGCAAGTTCACAGACCATCCTCTAATTAGTAGTGTATGTGTATGTCTTTTGTATGGAGAAAAAAATTTCCCTGGAACCTAATCTCCCACCCCCATTTACATTAATTTTTATGGGGAAACTGGATTCGCTTAACTCTGCTTCTAAACAAAATGGTGTTAAGTGAGGAGTTTAGAGGAATGAACAGCCATGCCAGGACTCTGGGCTAGGTTGGGGGGTTGAGGGGACGGGGGGGGAACTCAGGCAAAAGGGTAATGACCAAGGACAGCAGGGCCTCAGTGTCACTCACACTGCAGCACCCCACCTCCATTGCTGCCTAAGAGCTGCCCAGGGTGCTGTGGCGGCAATACAGCAGCGATTTAAAGGGCTTAGGGTTCCAGGCACCATGCAGCCAGAGCCCTGGGTCTCTCTGAATCATCGGGCTCTAGGAAAATTGACCTCTATTCCCCTTCCATTGGCAAGCCTGGAGGAGTTAATGTATATAACAAATTAACAACCTTTGTAATTACGTGGGGACAGATCTAAATTGCAAGAGATCTCAATTCACATGCTCCAGGACACAAGGTGATCACTATCAAGGGTTTTCCTTTTCCTGTTTTTCAGATCTGCAGCTTTTAAATTTCACCAATGTACATTCTAAGTTCTTGCAGGAGGGTGAGCTGAACAATAGTGTTTTGAGCACCAGTAAGGTGCGGTGCTCTGATTGCCAATCTAGACGTAGGAAGGACTTGGAAATTCTATGTCTTCTTTGAATACCCAGCAAATCCAGTCATCATTATGATGGACTGAAATTTGCATGGGACAGGGGCCAATCTCAGCACACACTGCCAGTGGTGAAGAGTTTTACAAAAGCAAGCAATTTTGCCATTAGTTGGTCTAAGAGCCTGCAATTGACATGACTTGGAAGACACTATTAGGACCTGGTCCTTCCTTGCTGGTTTTATAAGACAGAGAGGAAAGGTGGCAGCCTCCCTCCCTTAGAATTGGAAGGACCATCTGCCCAGGGACATTAAGACTGAAGTTGTTGCTTGTTCAATAAAGCTGCATCCTTTCTTTGCTAAAGCACTACAATCTATGCCATTTTCCTTATGTGTGTGTCTGGGATAGAGTGCTTTAAATAAAACTTTGTAAATGCAATCAGGTTTACTGAGTATAGTGACTTCTATCAATTTCCTAAGTATTTTATCCACCAAAATGCACATGATCATTTGTACTAGATACAGAGCCACCCTCAACTCCCAAACTAATAATGTAAACCCCAGGTCTGGGTG